ATGTAAAACCAAGAAGGAAGACAGCTACAAAGAATGGAAATGAAATAAATACCTGACACGGAAATGTTTCAGGAAGTTTAGTTTTATATGCTGCTGTTCAAGTATTAATTAATTTTAAAAAAATAGCATGCATCCAGCAGCTCAGTGTATTATGGCAGTTTCCTTCAGTGCTAAGAAACAAGAGGACAAGTGAATGTCATGGGGTGGGAGAGGTGCTGCACGTTGCTCTTACAGGTTACTCTGAAGAACCCCAAGGGGCCAAGTTTGTTCCACCCTAATTTTGGCATCTTGCGCTGCTGCTGTGCCTGGTGGGGTAAAGACCAACTTCCCATTGGTTTCACCAGACTATGATAATTTTATGTTTTCCCTTGGTCTCCTCTTCCTAGGTCAAATATGTAACAAGTAAAGGAGCTACTTGGATGGTCACCATGGTTGGTATTTCTCACTACCATGGGTAACGAAAGTGTTGAGGGTTTTTGTTGTCTGCTAGGGAAGCTGGAGGCAGAATGGCATGGCCTGTTCTCAGAGTGTAGCATTACAGCCTGGTGTTTGTTTTAAAATATTAATCTAGCTTCAGTTTGGAAAACCTGTTTCTTTATCTTGTGTGGTGTCCTGTTAGAGCTATCAGACCTTCATGATTGCCAAACTAGGGCAGAAAAAATGGTCCTGGAAGCTTTCCACGCAGATAATCCGCCTTAAAGTATGAACATGCTAAGTAGAGAGCCATGATTTTGGGACTGAAAGCCTTATCGCTATCTTTGTGGGAGTAACTAGTGCGTGAAAATGCTATCATTTACAGGAATACATGTGATATGGACACTGGATATGCTTAAATCTATTTTACTGGTACTTGTATGGCCTTTCCACAGTGCTGTCGTTGAGATTTGCTTTACGTGAGACTCACCCTGGTGTGGCCACCAAGCCACTTGGAAACAAGGCAGCCTGTGCGAGTCCCATCCTGCGCCCCCCAGCTCCCTCTGCTTTTACGCAGAGTGCGAAGACTTATTTTTCAAAGACCAAGGGTGTTTGACTTATCCAAGCTCTGGGGTGTACACCTGGAAATAGGACATTTTTCTGCATACCCCTCTGTCCCAGGGTCCTTGGTTTCGTTTTGGAAACAAACCTCCTTTCATTCTGGAAACAGACTCTGTATTCGAGTTCGCTTTCAGAGCTAACAAAGTGATTCCATCGCTAACAGCAAGAGCTGATCTGTGTGAGGCAGTCTCCCAGGAAGGCAGGCATTCCAGAATAGCTTAATATTACAAGTCACCTGCTGATATACATAAAAAAACTATGAGTATCTCTTAATATTGCCATCTCCTAGGATAGTGACACTAGAGAAAGCTGCAACATCTGTCGTTAAATTTCTTTTCATTGCCCTGTGGAGAAAAAAAGTGAGGGTTTTTTATAAGTTGCAGTGAGTCCTCAAAAGTCAACTAACTTTTGTCTAGCAATTGTGCTCACGTAAGCATGATTTCTTTCTAACAACAGGCCGAAGATGTTCTGCAGCAGCAGGAATTTTATGAATATTTCATGAGTAGCTTAAGTTAGAATTTGCAGGATTAAAAAGAGGAAACTGGGTCAAATGCACATGGTGTAAGCATCTAACTTCTTTAATGCTAAATTAATGTATGTTGCATTTTGAAAGCTGAAGAAGGATTTTTGAGGGTGGTGTTTTTTGATTTTTTTATTTTTTAATTTGATGATCTTACAGAAAAATTAATTTTCCCTTTGGAATTATGTGGGCCAAATCCCAGGTAACGTGGGGTTTCACAGTCTGTGTAACCACTTCAAGAGGTGCTTTTGCAGCAAGCCCAGTACCTTTCTGTGTAAAGACTACACTGCTGCTTTTCTGGGCGTATCGCTGGGTTTGAAGGATGGGGAACCGAGGACAATAAGTCCTGTATCCTCTAGACCTGAAGTTATGGCTGATTCTCAATGGAAGCAGCTTTTGCAGTAAAGCTTTTGAGGTCCTGCTGAAGCAGTGCTAATCACTGGTGGTGGTGAATGAGTAAAGTGCACAGAGGTGTTTTCCATGGAGCATGGCAGCACAGCTCCCACAAGGTTTCCTGAAGATAAATGTACTGTGTTGAGCATGCGTACTTGTCCACTAGTACAGCGTGTAGCTGATGGACCTACAGAGTGCTGGTGTTTGAGTTAGATGATGTTTTCAAGTACTGTTATTAGCTGTAATTGCCAAAGCCACTGCCAGTGCTCAGATAAATAAAATAGTAACATGAAGTTGGGACTGAAGGAAAGGAAGGTTTCGTATTCCACTGTTCTTTTCTAAAGATTAGTTGCTCAAAAGAAATGGAGAATGTAGTGACAACATCATGCTGGCATTTCAGAGGCCTGATGAACAGAACTAATTAAACACAAAAGATCCTAATGACCATGTTTTTTCAAAACTCTCTTACACCTTACACTAAAACACAAAGGTGTTTTAGTGGCTCCCTTCCTTAACCTAAGTTGGGTTTTAATTGTGCTGCCTCTTTCCTTGGCATTTTGTGCAGTGATATTAGGCTTCATTTTAATTCAAGAGATGATGATACAGAAGATGTAAAAATACCCCAATGTATTATAAGCCTCTCTGGAGCTGTATATAGTCAATATGACTGTTCTCAATGTTTTTGTAGAATCATAGAATAGTTTTGGTTGGAAGGGACCTTTAAAGGTCATCTTGTCCAACCCCTCCTCTGCAATGAGCAGGGACAACCTCAACTAGCTCAGAGCCCCATCCAACCTGTCCTTGAATGTTTCCAGGGATGGGGTGTCTACCACCCCTCTGGGCAACCTGGGCCAGTGTTTCATCACCCTCAGTGTAAAAAAATTCTTCTTTCTATCCAGTCTAAATCTACCTTCTTTTAGTTTAAAACCATTACCCCTTGTCCTATTGCATTCACCCACGTTTTTACTCTCGTGTCACTGTTGTCCTTAATGGTTAATATCTTTTATCTTTGTATTTTCAATGATGTAGACATTTCTAGGCTTGGTGTATAAAATATGTAAATGGCTAAGCTGTAACAGGGCTTGTAATGGTCTTTGTGGCTTTTTAAAATATGCATGGAAATAAAAAGTGTATAAAAGTAATTGCTTGGTTAGCATTATTGTGGTAAAAGGCATTTCCAAGCTGAATGTTGTTGGGGTTTTTTGCTATACAAATAACCACCAGTGCAAGATGGACTGTCTGTTACCTTTGTCAATGCAAGTGCTGAGCACTCAGTGTGACAAGAGTTTGGGGAGGTTAACCCACCTAACGACTCCTGCCGGTCCTGGTTGGTGTCACTATGCTAGCCTAGTCCTCCTCTCTGCAGCTACCTTTGGAAGCCATCATCTGTCCTGTAGTTCTGTCCCATGATGGGTGTGGTGGTGCAGCCCCCTCGTCTCTTAGGCCACTCAGTGCTTGGTGTGATTTCCACCCCCACCTGGGCCACATAGCAACCTAAAGTAAGTTAGACAAGAATTGGGAAGGGTAATGGACCAGAATGTTATGGCAACTCCTTAACGCACCTGGCTCCCATGTCCCCTGTTGCCTGGGAACAGTATTGATAATGGATTACCCCCTGGCCGTACCTGGGTTGTGGCCTAAAGAGTCGGGGGTGATAGCAGAACTTCATGATCTAGCAAGTTCTAGGCCCGCCCAACTGGTGAAAAGTACCAGAATATCCCATTGTCTGAGTTGGGCCTCGGACCCTCTAAGTAGTGACTCTAGCGAGACTCTTTGAGCTCTCCTGGATTGCAGTGGGCAGTGACCAGCATCTCCCCTGAGTTGGGCAAACACTTCAAGGGTAAAATGCCTTGTATTTACTCGAGAAGAGGGTAATTTTAACCATAGGCCAGCCTCTTTTCCATCCACCTCTCTATTTACATGTTTGAGTATACACATTCACTTTTGCGAGCGTGAGTGTCTATATATTTTACTGGATCCAGGTATTTCTGTCTGTGTGTGTATTGGCTCACTGGAGTTGCCCGCTGCAAAGGGACCTTGGTCCTACCAGTTAAAGTCTCCGGCAGTGTGTGTGCAGCTCATTGAATGGTGTGTCTTTGTATGTTTTATGTTTATATTTAGATTTTTTGATTTAGGATACCATGTAGTAAGTTAGCATGAATCTTGTCATTTTTGAATCTGTAATTAGGTTGCTGTTTAATTCTTTTATTCAATCACTTTGTAAATCCTTAAATTGGTTAATGGTTAAGTACTGCTAAAATTCAGCCTCTTGATCTACCTCAAACCATTAATAAATTTTGAACTGCTGCTAAGTCATAACTGTGTCAAATATTCCCATCCGTGACAATAGGGTTTAGGTACTTTAAGGAAACCGAGAAATAGAGTGGCTGGGCCTACCTGATTGTTACCTTTGCTGGCTCAAACTAAGAGCTGACATTGCCTTGTTACAGAGGCCTGAACTGACCATTGGGGTTTGTCTTCCCTTATTTCTCCTCCTCCCTCTGAAGTACCTCTGATGAGTAATAACATGAAAATACAAAAGCTAATGCCAAAGAAACTGATTTCTTTTTGGTTCATTTAGGCTTTTGTCCTATTAATTCCATGACAGATGTTTTCTTTTTAAGGCTACACTCTGCCACGTTGCGTGTTTAATCTGGAGTGAATGCTAATGTCTACACTGGATGCTAAAGCATCACTTTTAAAAAAGGCAGTAATGTTCATGACAAAGAGCAAAGTCCCAAGGACAAGTAGACGCTGTTTCTGGGGTTCTTCAACTAGAGTTGGATTGCTTTAGCTACAGCTCATGTGGCTAACTGGCTTCCATTGCTGCTTTTTATCATAACATTGTGGGTTTTTACAGCAATTAAATCACTGCTCATTCACTACTCATGAAGTTATTTCAAACAGGATTTGCTCAATAAAGATCAAGTTTGGTTTCTGTTATTAAAATGTTGAATACTGCCTCTTCACTAAGAATTATCATGGAAATTAATTCTGGTTTTATTTGGAATTAAATTAATGTTGTTTTTCTTCTTCTTTTCTCACTGTTCAGCTGTGAGATCTGGCTGGCTGCCCCCACCACCACCTGCACTGCCCCCTCGACCTTCTGTGTCTCAGGTATGGCCAAAGGTTTAACATTTTGCTGTGTATTTTTCACTTATTTACGTTACCGTTGCAGTGGTTAGCACGAGTTGGTTTGGACATGGCAGTTGTTCTTGCTTCCAAGTTAATGCAAATCTGCAGTTCGCTCTGCAGTTCTGTACATGTCCTTCTTCCTTGGTCTGTCTAGCCGGTGTGTTGCAATGTCAAATTACAGACTAATTAAATCTCTTTGTACTGGAGCTGACATGCACCCACTAGACAAAACTGTAAATTAAAGGCTAGTAAAGCTAGTCAACTAGTAAGAGTTTGGTGCCTGAAAGGCATGGACTTGATACCTGCTATTTGCTTCTCAAGCTTCAAATGCTCGGAGGGTATCTACTAAGGGAGCTACGGCATGAAAGAGTGTATTTCACCCATGGGTTTGAAAAATAATATTGAAGGGAAGCAGGTGCCCTGTCGGTTATGTTGTTAAGTTTCAAATCATTAGCGGCGCACTTTTGTTTTGCTTTCTGGATGGGTTTTTGTTTGTTTATAGAGCATCGCACAGCCACAGCACAATGCAAATTGACTAAATCATGCATACCTGCATCCAGATACTTCTTCATGTTTTAGGAAATGATGGAGGATCAGTGTATTGCTCTTTTTATGATGTTGGCTCTGCAGCAGTATGCTTCATATATTACTCCTTTAGGTGAGGTGTATAATAGAAAACAATTCACAGGGGTGCCAACAGCCCATTACATGTGAAAACTTGGTGAGGCACTCCCACTGGACCAGGAGCAGTCCTTACTTGAGGTTTGGGTTTACTCTTATGAGTCTGCTGTTGAACATCTCCTGCTGTACAGTGCTTGTGATGGAAATAAAAGGCTTGTTGCTGTCCCCAGCTCCACCAGCAGCTTGTTGCTCTCCCCAAGCACATTTTAGCATCTGAGCACAGCTAGTTTCTACCTTGAGGACAGTGAAGTGTTCTAGCTTCAGCTTGTGTGCTTCCTCCGAGTCATTATGGCATTAGCAATCCTGCTAACACCACACGCTCCTTAGTGGACCCATCACATACCTGCTTTGACCAGTGCTTCCTGGAGAGCAGTGTTTCCCTCTGGCTTTTCCCGATCCCACAGTGTGGCTCCCTGCCTTGTGCCTGCAGAAACTGCTGCCACAACCCATGCCAGCCCCCCTGCTGCTGCTCAGACTTACAATCATAGAATCATTTAGGTTGGAAGAGACCTTAAAGATCATCAAGTCCAACTGTTAACCTAGCACTGCCAAGTTACCACTAAACCGTGTCCCTCAACACTATATCTACACATCTTTTAAATACCTCCAGGGATGGCAACTCAACCACTGCCCTGGGCAGCCTGTTCCAATGCTTGATATCCCTTTCAGTGAAGAAATTTTTCCTAATATCCAATCTAAACCTCCCCCAGTGCAATTTGAGTTGATTTCCTCTCATCCTTGGAAGAAGGGACCAACCTCCACCTTTCTACAACCTCCTTTCAGGTAGTTGTAGAGAGCAATAAGGACTCCCCTCAGCCTTCTTTTCTCCAGATTAAACAACCCGAGTTCTCTCAGCCGCTCCACGTAAGTCTTGTGCTTTAGACCCTTCACCAGCTTCATTGCCCTTCTTTGGATGTCCTCCACCACCTCAATGTTTTTCTTGTAGTGAGGGGCCCAAAACTGAACACAGTATTCATGGTGCGGCCTCACCAGTGCCGAGTATGGGAGGACGATCACTTCCCTACTCCTGCTGGCCATGCTATTCCTGATACAAGCCAGGATGCTGTTGGCTGCGTTGGCCACCTGGGCATACTGCTGGCTCATATTCAGCTGGCTGTCGACCAACGCTCCCAAGTCCTTTTTTCTGGGCGGCTTTCCAAGTTTGTAATGCTGCATGGGGTTGTTTTGACCGAAGTGCAGGACCCAGCACTTGGCCTTGTTGAACATCATACCATTGGCCTTGACCCATTGACCCAGCCTGTCCAGATCCCTCTGTAGGGCCTTCCTAACCTCAAAGAGACTTGCCATGGTGTGCTGGCTCCATGCACTGCAGGCTCTCTCACTGCCATTGGCAAAAAGCAGTAAATGTAACAAATCCAGTTCTTAGGGAAAAACGTGTTGTTTTCAAGCAAGGTTTTGCTAATTGTCAATTTTCTTGTCCTGTCATAGATTTGCATTTCCTTAGCAGGGCAATGAGGAGAATGAAATTTAATTAAATGTCTCCTCAAAATATTCTTGTTCTGATGTCTAGCAAAAATGCACGTAGAAACAGTTCTTGAATACATAATAAACTTCACACTCATCACATTCTGTTTATTTTTTGTCCATGTGGGCCTTTCTGTGATAAAGGTAGCAGACAGTAGGGAAGTATGTGTGGTGGGGTCATAATTCAACGGAGCTGACCCTTACAAATCACATGTAAGCAATAGTAAGCATATGGATTACATTAGTCCAGTGGGGCCCTTAATTTAAAGAGCACGAAGAAGTTGGAAGGAAAGATCTGCTTTCAGAACCGAAGCAGGGTCAAGAACCAAAGAAAAGACGTGATGTTGAAATGACACCTTCAGCTTTTTTTCTGTTTCAGGACTTGCAAAACTCTTCTTAAATTTCCTTTTTTAACTTATTTTTCAACAATGTTATTGAAAATCCTTTCTTTATTGCCTTAACATTTTGCTATATGCCTGCGGTTAAGCACTGTGAATGACAAATGTAGCTTGGAAATGAAGCAAGCCCCATATATTTCAGGTGGCTGTGCACCATGTAAGTATGCTCCTGGTGTGATTATTTTGGCTCAGTTTTGGAAATCAGTTGATGGAGGAGGAGAGGGAAAAAATTTCTTCTGAGGACTACAGTTTTCTATGGATGGCTGAGAAGCAGCCTGGACCAGTTGGCTCTTTAGAGTGAGATTAAAGGGCTTGTAAAGGGTTGTAAAGGCCCGTAAAAGAGAGGTATCGAGGGGTAGGTATTACATTTCAGTGGAGCAGAAGTCCTTCTGTGAGCTTAATCAATAGCAATATAGAAATGTCATCTTGACTTTGGTCCTGGGTTGCTGTTGTTTTTAGTAGAATTTGTTTCAACCTTTAGGAAAACATTATTTTTCCTGTCAGAACCTCCAAGGTAATCAAGCTCAGTAAGTTACTGAGTTCAGTAATTCAGAGTGTGCCAAATGTCTCTAGTCATATCACAAACTTACTGAATTATATCTACATCCAGCTCTGCCTCCATAGTGCTATCAGCTGAATAACGGGGGAGAAGGACTGTATCCCTGGGTGAGTGTAGCACAAGGTAAAACTTAGAGCTCATACCGCTTTGGCCTTGACTCCAGAGCTGAGTGGATGCACAGGTTTATTGTGAGAGGCTCAAGTCTTGGGATTACTGTGAGGACTTGGCCAGTTTATGGGGAAATAGCAGCAGAGTTGGCTTCTCTGCTCTAGGTTGCTGCTACCAGCCCATGCTGTTCCACACCTCTGGTGGGTAGACACCTTTATAGGTGCCGCATCTCTTCTTAGCTCTACAACATGTTTTATGGTTTGTGGATTTACTCTGCATTTCTTTCTTTTTATGGTCTCTAAAAGGCTATGGTAGCTCCATCTTCTCAGGGGTTTTCTCCATTGCCAAAATCACTGTTGTATTGAAGTCCAGGAACTGTACCCAAGTTTTCTTCAGAGCTTTCACCTGATGTTTCTCTGATGCAGTGAAGCTTTCATCGGATACCCCTATGGTGATTGTAAATAAATTTAATAAATAAAGACAGACAAAAGGCAAGTTTCCATAATGTGGATACAGCATTATCTCCAATTTATGATCTTTTAACCCAAATTCCAACTCATATCTCTCTATGCTGCAAGCCATTTTGAATTGATGTTTCCAGTAAAACGCTGTGAAATCCAGTATGAAATGCTTTATTAGAATCCTATTTGTTGCTTTCCTATAAAAAAAAGAAAGTAATTCAAGTTTTGCCTAAATTCTATAAAGGGTGCTTGGAAGGATTTTGTATAGAATCAGGCTTATAGAAAGACTAGAGTTTTGTTTTGGATAATATGTTATTTTGAAGTGTTTTCCTTTTACTACTGTATATACGTCTGTGTGTAACTTCACTGACATCTTCTGTAATCCCTAGTAGCACATCTCACACTTAGCAAATCCACAGTAGCTTGGATTTAAGGATAATTTTATCTAAATCAGTTTCCCTGTTTCTTCAGACCATAAATATTTAGTAAGCTGCAAGCTATTGTACAGCCTTACCTCTCTTGCTCACTTCTCATGATATGCTTTAGTTATGGCTTTTTCACTCTTTTTTTTTTTCTTTTTTGGGGTTTTTAAAATTTTTAAAGTTTTTAGGGGTTTTTGTGTCATCCCCGTTGTCGTCCCCCCACTCCGTGTGATGGTATATAGAACAGATAACCTGTAGCTTGTTGAAATAACATGGTTTTTTCTGGGCTTTTAGAGGACTGGATTTAGTGGCTTGAGTAAGTTTTCCTGATCCTGTTTTCCTAACTTAATGGTAAACTTAAGTCACCAGGGAGAAATGGTGTAAAGGTGGCCTCAAAACTTCTGTGTGCATCTAGAGCTGTACAGAGGAAATTTGTGCAACTTGGAGGCGTTAAGAATCACGATAGGAAGGCAACAGCATATGTAGCTGATATGCAGTTACACAGATTTCTGATGGGAAGGAACTTTGGATGCTCATGAAAAACACTCCATTGGAACCGAACATGTGTATATACATCTCATATAAGCCCCTGTTGTTATTTTTTACTGTTGGCTTTTAAGCCTATGGAAATCATTTACCACAGCTGCTTACTGTGGGAGATTTAGTAACATATTTTTGCTAATAGGAGTTATGGATGAACACTGAAGAACAAATATAACTTTAGGATTTTATCCAACATCAGCTCTCTATCTGCAACATCACCCAATTAGATCAACGTTGCTTTATTTAAATTACTCTATTTCTGTACCTTCCTGTCCAGTAATGAAGGCATATCCATCCTGCCTGTGTTGTATAAGGGGATTTGAAA